CTACTTGTATTAAAGGACAAAATTGTATTACAAATAATATATAAATATATTTATAAATTATACATTTTAATACAAGAAATATTGTGTTGCTAAGTAAAATATTAAATTGTGTATGGAAAGCATCGTCAATGCACCGCGATATCAAATTGAACCGAATCAATGGCATGATAATCGCAACTGGACCGTGAGACCAGTGTAGGTTCACACCCCTAATATGGATGGATGGATGGACGGATGGATGGATGGATTTTTCACTCCAACTCTATCTACTGCACAGCATTATGGGTAAAATGAATTTCTAATTGTGTTTTCTTTTTCTTTAAATTCCAGAACCCAACTCTTTAATAGACTCACTGTTACCATGGAAAAAAAAATATTGCAATCAGCACAGCATTTTTTCTTTTATTTTTTTAATGGCAAAATTACGATAGCTAGTCTTTTAAAGATAGTTAAGATAGTCAATATAAAACGAAGCGTTAAGAGTAAAAAGAAAACTAAATAGGACCTAGATTAAATGTAAAGTAAGGTAATCTGTGCAAACTTAAGCAGAGAAGTCCATCTAAATAATTTTAGCAAAATGATTATTTATAAGTCGTGCCTGCATTAATAGTGCTAAATTGAACTTTAACTGGCTGAAATCAATGGATGTGACTTTTGCAACTTTACCTCTCGTAATTAAAACAATTTTTAAAATACCAGGTCTAATATAATGAATTTCAGAAGGATTAACTTAAGTATAAAAAAACTGGCCTCTTGCAAAGGATTAATTAGACAAAGAACAATTGACTTTCTGAACGCCCTAATGTTTGAGTTCACCTTTTTATTGAGCTCTCTAAGGGAATCCAGCTCCTTCAGGAGAAAGGCGATGTTTTTCTCTTTATCCAGAACTGGGACTTGCTTTTTGGAGTCACCGATAACTTTGGAGCTTCCCTGGTCCTCATGAGAATGCCTTCAGAAAAGACAAAAGTTCATTAGAAACGCTCTTATATTAGACTCCCAAACGGGCAACAAAAAATGAATCACATTCTGACATGCAATTATCAAATACACAAGGGATGCGGTCTCCCACTTTCAAGAATATTACTGTGACTTATTTACTTTGAGATATTAGTCAAATCATACAGTTGACCTTTAAGGTAATATTAAAGTATTACTTGCACTGTATTGCAGGGTAAATTACTTCCCTCTTGTAGCCAGGAATACGATTCGTTTCTTATTAAAGAGGCAAAGAAAATGCAGTGGAATCTATATTTATAACAGGACGAAGCATGCTGTGATATAATTAAAATCATCTTAACAATGGACAATGATGCTAAACTTGGAAATTAGATATACTTAACATTTTTGAGTGAAGGCCTTCTTGATAGTACTCAAGAAAAGTAAAACTAATCAGCTGTTGCATATACAGTAGGATGTGTTTGCAATGACAAACTACCTAGTATTTTATTGACCTTATTCTAAAATGCGGAAGTGCGCCTGTTTTCGCGATTGTCTTAGAACTTCCGATTCAGTGGCCTATGGGAGAAATGACTTGGAATAATAAACGGCAGAAAACGGTCAAACTACTTGCTCAACAAACAAATGTTTGCATGACTATACAGACCAAGTAGTATAATATAACAAGAAAATATCAAATTGCAACATCAAGCAGTGAAATGAGCAGTTTTTAAGGCTAAAAATGAATGGAAGTGAATGAGACCGGATGTCTTGAGCCAAAAAGATTCAAATGGCAGCGCCCGCTCGTCGGCGGAGAATAAGGTCAATAGGAATTGTTGTGCAATATTAAAACAGTGCACAATATCCAATTGTACTTATGCAAGGGTTGGATGACCTACTGTTTGCCCATTTGAATTGATACAGCACTCCAAAATACAGAATAAACACCTCTAAAAAGATACATTTATTCTTGATATTGATATTGTAAACAGTATATGTATTGTTTATTGTTGCTTAAGATGCATACATCCATAACACCTAATATAGAAGTACTGCATTTTTAATGTATGTTTTAAGCCAATGCATTGGTATAATGGCATAAAAGATATAATGAAATACAAATGAATTTACACTTATATTACTTTAATATATAGATGATAGTAAAATTATCAGCCCTCCTGTCAAATTTAAATACCTTTTCAAATATTTCCCAAGTGATGTTTAACAGAGCAGGAAATTTCACAGTATGTTCTTTAGGAAAAATGTCTTTTAAGTTTCTTTTAACTGACCTAAAATGAAAAATAGCTTGAAATAAAATAGTTGGTGGGAATAGTAAAAACAGTAGTTGAAATAAAAATAGTTTGGGCGACACAGTAGCACAGTAGGTATTGCTGTCGCCTCACAGCAAAAAGGTCACTGGTTTGAGGCTCGGCTGGGTCAGCTGGCGTTTCTGTGTGGAGTTTGCATGTTCTCCCTGCGTTCGCGTGGGTTTCCTCCATGTGGTCCGGTTTCCCCCACAGTCCAAAGACATGCGGTACAGGTGAATTAGGTCAGCTAAACTGTCCGTAGTGTATGTGTTTGTATGGATGTTTCCCAGTGATGGGTTGCCGCTGGAAGGGCATCAGCTGCGTAAAACATATGCTGGATAAGTTGGCGTTTTTTCCGCTGATGCAAAATCGGATTAATAAAGGGACTAATCCAAAAGAAAAAAAAAGAATTAATGAATAATTAATAATAATTTATAAGGTCAAAATAATAATCTTTTTTTTTATTGGTAAAGAAAAAAAAAACACATTCAATGAGCTGCCTAATTAACCTAACTCTCCTAATTAAGTAGTCCTAATTAAGTCTCTAAATTGCACTTTAATTGCACTCAATACTAGTATCTTATTATAATATAATGTAAAGTCATTATGACAAAGGTAAAATAAATTAGTTTTAAAAAAAATATCAGGCATCAAAATGTAATAAATCAAATGTTCTCTCTGTTAAACAGTTATTAGAAACATTTGAAAAATAATCTCAATTTCACAAGAGGCCAAATAAAATAAAATAAAAATTTAGCCCTCCTGTGATTTTTATTTTCTTTTTCAAATATTTCTCAAATAATATTTTACAGAGAAAGGAATTTTTTTCCCCAGTATTTCCCATAATATTTTTATTTATTTTATTTCGGCTAGATTAATTTTTAAAAAACCTTTTTAAGGTGAAAATTATTAGCCCCTTTAAGCTATATTTCTTTTCAATTGTCTAAAGAACAAACCATGGTTATACAATGACTTACCCTAACTTTAACCTAGTTAAGCCTTTAAATGTCACTTTAAGCTGAATATTAGTATCCTAAAACTAGTCAAATATTATGTACTGTCATCATGTCAAAGATAAAATAAAGCAGTTATCAGAGATGAGTTGATAAAATTATTATGTTTAGAAATGTGCTGAAAAAATCTTCTCTCCGCTAATAATTCAAGTGGGCTAATATTTTTGACTTCAACTATATTAATACAAAACACTGCATAGCATGCACAAGTGGTATCCAATTAAAATATTCTTTATGTTCAGTTTCTGTCAAAAAGCAAAAAACACAAAAAGAGAGAAGAGGTGAAAGTATAATGAACTTTTAACTGCAGATTTTTACATTTATATTACTGAGCAGTGTGAATGAGTGTGTCTACTCATGACAGCTAGAGTCTGTTCTCCTGACCTGAGCAGAGCAGAGCTCGTCCTGCTGATGTGAGGTGTGTGGACTGGACTGCTGGCCGTCTCATTAATGTCCTGTTCCTGCTGCGCTGTCTCTTTCTGTTGAGCTCGTCTCTCCTCCTCCATGATCCTCACTTCAGCTGGAGCAGGGACAGGCACAGGTGGGGGTGGAGGGGGTTTGGGCAGCACTTCTTCTCTGGATCTCGGACTCTTAGATACTGTGTGTGTAAAAAAACAAAATGCTAGCATTGTCCTTGTCGCCATGCACATAACTCAAGAAAAGTCAGATTTTACTTAACTTTTTCTTCGATGATATCTTGATTGTTAATTTACTAGGAAGAGTTACTAAGCTCGGAGTCATAACCTCCAAAACAAAAGCTAAGCTTTTTATGGCAAGAACAGAGAAAAAGGAAAATAAATCTGATGCACACGCTGCATTGTGGCTGACCACACACACAAACTATTCACTCAGCTGCTGTCTGGAAAGACATACAGAAGCATTCGGGCTCTCACATCCAGACTGTGCAACAGTTTTTTTTTACATGCTATCAGACTTTTAAAAATGAAGATACTGGACTGACACACACACACACACACACACAGAGACAAAAAAAATTAATGGACAACAACAGGAATGGGGCGTCACTGTGGCACAGTGTGTAGCACAATTGCCTCACAGCAAGAATGTTGCTGGTTTGAGCCTTAGCTGGGTCAGTTGGCATTTCTGTGTGGAGTTTGCATGTTCTCCCTGTGTTCGCATGGGTTTCGTCCAGGTGCTCTGGTTTCACCCACAAGTCCAAAGACATGTGCTATAGGAGAATTAGGTAAGCTAAATTGTGTAGTGTATGTGTGTAAATGAGTGCGTATGGGTGTTTTTCCAGTGATGGGTTGCAGCTGGAAGGGCATCCGTTGCGTAAAACATATGCTGGATAATCGGTTCATTCCACTGCGGTGACCCCAGATTAATAAAGGGACTGAGTCGAAAAGAAAACGAATGAATGAATATATGTATGAATGAATGAACGAACAACAGGAAGTTTTGCAATACTGCTATTTTTACACAGTTCTGTACAACATTTCTTCCCTGAATGACAAATGTTTACATGTACAGTATTTATATTTGATCCAATATTTCAGGTCAGCCTTACTGTTTATATTTCAGGTCAGCCTTACTGCACTAAATGTTGCACAAACCGCACTTTGCGGCCTTATTCTTATTTTATTAATTTTTTTGTTTTGTTTATCTTATCTTTTTTATTTCATTCCTCTAAAATTTTATAGTAGTGTGTAGTCCTGTATTATGTTGTCAATTGATGTTGTTTGATGTAGTATCTTGGTCCTGGAGGAACTTGCTGGATAAGTTGGCGGTTCATTCCGCTGTGGCGACCCCGGATTAATAAAGGGACTAAGCCGACAAGAAAATGAATGAATGAACTTTGTTGACTTGTCTTTGATTTTTATACTCACTCAAAAAATAATTTTACAGCTTTTTCAAACTACTTATCTATAATTAGTTGAAACAACACAATTCTTAAGATTTTGAGGGGACAACTAAATTGTTTTACGTTCAATCCACTTGAGTTTGGGATAGGGTTGGGACAACATGAAGGAATTGTGTGGAACCCTGCTTTTTTTTATTTTATTTTATTTTTTTTATACAATGCTCTGTGCAGCACTTTGGTCGACTGTGGCTGTTTTAAATGTGCTATACAAATACACTACCTGAAAAAATTCTTGTCGCCTATCCAAGTTTTAGGACAAACAAATAATAACTTGACTTCTAGTTGATCATTTGGTACCAGAAGTGGCCTATATGAAAGGCAAAGGCCTCTAGATTATGCTTATTTGACGAAAATAAAAATTTATAATGCCTTGATTTTTAATGATTTAATTAGGACAGTAAGATCTGACTTTGCTTAGACAGAAGTCTTGTCACTTAACAGAAATAATGTACAGTGTAGAATATAAAGTAAAGCTTGGACTGCATCTATACATCTCTGCAATGACTCAAATCACTTATTAATAAAGTCATCTGGAATGCCAAAGAAAGCGTTCTTACAGGAATCCCAGTTCATCAAGATTCTTTAGATTCATCTTCAATGCCTCCTCCATCTTACTCCAGACATGCTCAATAATGGTCATGTCTGGTGACCGGGCTGGCCAATCCTGGAGCACCTTGACCATCTTTGCTTTCAGGAACTTTGATGTTGAGGCTGAAGTATGAGAAGGAGCGCTATCCTGCTGAGGAATTCACCCTCTCCTGTGGTTTGTAATGTAATGGGCAGCACAAATGTCTTGGTACCTCAGGCTGTAAATGTTGCCATCTACTCTGCAGATCTCTTGCACAACCTCTTACTGAATGTAACCCTAAACCATGATTTTTCCTTTACCAAACTTGACTGATTTCAGTGAGAATCTTGGGTCCATGTGGGTTCCAACAGGTCCTCTACAGTATTTGTGATGATTTGGATGCAGTTCAAGTCAAGTCAAGTCAAGTCAACTTTATTGTCAATCAAACCATGCAACAGTACATTACACAGCAGACTGAAATTGCGTTTCTCCCATACTCCAATGTGCAATTTAAAAACAAAAATATGACACACACTAGACATAAACTAAACATTTAACTAATATAGTACAAGATAAATTGAATAAATAGACACTAATAAACTGTGAACAATTACCAGTTCAACAGAAGATTCTTCAAAAAAAATCTACCTTCTGCCACTTTTCCAAATGATCAACTAGAAGTCAAGTTGTTATTTGTTGCTCTTACATCGGGGATGGACAACAAAACTTTTGTCTGGAAGTGTAAGCATTGTATTGTATTGTATTATTTTACCATCTGAAATTCCACTCGAGTGTCAATGCATTTCCAGCTATTTCTACATATCAAATAAAATATATTTTACCATGCAGAGAAAGCTATTTAGAGGCTAAATAAAGAGGAAAACCCACAATAAAGAAGCTGCAACCATAACATAGAAGATTTCCATTCCTCTGCTGTGAAATTACAGTCTGATGGTGTGAAAGGCAGCACTGTTGGCTGGTTTTTGCGTCAGCTCTCTGAAAAGGAAACTAGGTCTGGCCGTCTTTCACGAGGGAATGTGGTGATCTGTGCCGAGTGACTGGCAGGAGGGGGAAACAAGGTCTTCTGTCAATGTTTCTGTAGCGCTCAGGGCCAGAGATGCAAACACGGAGGCCTGTCTCTCTGGCAGCCTTTCTGAAGACACCATCAGCTCCTCGGGGAAAGCTGGATGTGCCCCGGATAGTTTGTGATCAAAATCAAAGAGCCCTTGTGGCAGAGACGTTTTAAACGAGAGCAAATTTGTGGTGACACAACTGGTAAAAATAGACACTTGAAAGATACAGCAAAAGCTAAAATTGCAAAGTGAGAATCTAAGGGTGTTAAGTTATTACCCTGAATTTCTGTGGCTGCGTTACGTGAAAAATAAAAGTTTTCTGAACACTCCCTACATCTGCCATTGGCTAGCCAAACAGTTAGTCCCGCCCACAAATGATTACATGTTACTTTTTGAAGTGTACTGTTTCAGTGCCAATTTGCATAGGGTAAAATCAAGCAGGTTTCCTGAATTAAATATTGCAAGAGGATAGTCCCATCTCCGAACTTACACCATTAGTTAAATGTTGAATGTGCCATTTTGGGAAATTTGCATTAGATAAAATTGATAACATTTCCAAATGTTTTCCCTTTTTTTTTGCATTAGTAAAAAACACTTTTTACAGACTACCTATAATCCAAACATGTAACATTAGTCGGCCAAACAGAGAGTTCCACCTTCAAACTCTCACCATTGGCTAAATGTTGCTTTTTAATTGTACAATTTCAGTGCCAATTTGCATAAAGTAAATAAACTCTTTGTTTTTTTTCTCAAACAGGATTCCTAAATTACTTACAAGATAGTCCCACATCCAAAACGTATGCCATTGGTTGAAAGTACCAGCTTAAGTGTGGCGTTTTTGGAAATTGGCATTAGGTAAAATAGGGTATATGTAGAGCAAGTGCTTCTTCCCATACTGATAAACTTCCGGGGAACAGTTAATGTGACTTTTTTTTCATTTTAAAATATAATCAGTTAAATAGACTTTGCAATTCATTTAGTTGCCCAAGCGTAAAACGAGATGATTAGAAGCCTAATTGATTATACTGGGGTAAAATAAATGTTCATATTTTAAAGACATGATGGGGAAAATGTAATTTAATGCAGCGCTTCTTGTACAATCTGAGACTCACTTTATGTCGCATATCACTCAGCCAGTGGAGATTGTTGACTTTTAAAGAAAACAGACCTTAAACGTGCCAATTTTGTTACTGCATACAGTTCACCTAAAGCGCTTAACCCAGGTCACTGACAAAAATAAAAGTCCTTCCCAGATACACTATTAACATTTCCAAATGTTTCCCCTTTTTTTTTTGCATTAGTAGAAACATTAATGACTTTTACAGACTTCCTGCACTCCCAATTTATAACATTAGTCGGCCAAACAGATAGTCCCGCCTACAAGCTCACATACTGTTTAAGTGTACAATTTCAGTGCCAATTTAGATAAAGTAAAATAAGTGTGTGTGTGTGTTTGTGTGTTTGTGTGTTTGTGTGTGTGTGTGTGTGTGTGTGTGTGTGTGTGTGTGTGTATGTGTGTGTGTGTGTGTGTGTGTGTTTGTGTGTATACACATTTTAACAAACGTTAAACTTATGCCATTGGTTGAATGTTATTGCTGAAGTCTGCCATTTTTTGACATTTGCATTAGGTGGTAAAACTGATAGCATTTCCAAATTCTTCTTCTGTTTTGCATTAGTAAAAACATTAATGATGTTTACACTACCTATAATCCCAACATGTAAAAATTGGTCAGTCAAACTCTCACTATTGGCCTAAATGTTGCTGTTTAAGTGTACAATTTCAGTGTCAATTTGCATAAAGTAAAATAAATATTTTTATTTTCCAAACAGGATTCCAGAATTATCTTGAAGATATAGCTCTACCTCCAGAACTTATGCCATTGGTTGAAAGTACCAGCTTAAGAATGCCATTTTTGAAATTTGACATTAGATAAAATTCATAAAATTTCCAAATGTTCCCCCTTTTTTGCATTAGTAAAAACATTAATGACTTTTACAAACTTTATGCACTCCAAACCTATAGCATTAGTCGACCAAACAGACAGTGCTGTCTATAAAATAACACCATTGGTTAA